TATATATTTCCCATCTTTGGAGATAGAGAGTATCTTTTAATGAAAGTCAAGAGATTAGAGAATTGCAGCTTGTGTTTATTAATTTTTCACATGTGATTTTTTTTACTGTATACCCAGGAAATTTAAGCCAATCAGAGAGTGTCTGGGGGCAGGTCTGCCTAGAGAACTAATTGAAAAAAAAAAAGGGCTGAAGTCAGAAACTGAGAATTTGCTTTAATTAGTACACACCATATAATTTATTAATTTCTAATGACCAAAATTGTGATTTCTACATTGCTGATACAGCACAGAGTGTTTCTCTTTATGGCAGAGCTGCTTGTTCAGAATAGCTTGATCACTTTGTAAAAATTATACAAGTAGAATTCAAGTCAGACAGGTTTAGGTTTTGATGTTGGCCTGGAGAATGGGTGTTCACCACAAAGTGAGGGATTTATCAAGGAATCTGAGAGTGAAACATTTTCACCCTTGGAACTTAAAAGCCCTTTTAACATCCTGCTTCCCTTTTCATTGTGCCGGAGCAACAGGTCAGGGATTGCCTAAGGCAGCCCTGCAAATTGGCACCTGCCTTTGTGCCTAAGACCTGGAAGGAGTGGTGGGTAGAAGGCGGCCAGGGAAATTGAATAAGTCTGCCTTTTCCTCCAGTGCTTTGCAAAGTTACCTCTCTGTGGAGACTGGGCTTTGATGCCTGGGGTGCAAGAGAAGCTAAGGTTCTGACTTAAGCAGAAGAATTATTTGCTGCAGGGAGTCACTTAAACAGGTGCAGGGCTAGGGACAATAGAGGTGCCAGGTGAGGGATGAAGGCATAGCCCTTCTGGCCACAGTTGTCCCTTCCTTTTGTGCTGCAGTGGGTGCTTTACTGGACCATGGCAGGATTATCTCTTTTCTTCCTAAAGCTCCAGTCCCTCCATTCCCCTTTGGTGTTTGAGGGTGGAGGAAGGTTCCCAGAGCTCATCACCTGCTCCATAGTAAGGGAACATGCTTATCAAGTGTTCTTCCTGTCTCTGTAAATAGAGAATAAAAAAATTACATTGTTAAGCTTTTACTTGCTGGCAAGGGCATCTTGCCTCTGTGGGGCAGGGATGGTGGACTTCTCTTTCTCCTAGTCTGTTCATGTTTCCTATCTTCTCAGATCATCAGCAGCCTAAGACTTCTTACACAGCCTGACATTCTTTCTAGTTTGTATAGATTATTTGACCACACTGCCTGACTCTTAGGAAGGAAAAGTACCTACTACTGCTGTGTGCCCATAGTAGTACAGGTGCAGCTCTGCTCTCCACCAGGTTGGTTCTTTTTCATTTGTCTTTAAGTTTGATTTCTAACCAGGCCACTTTTCTTCTGTCTTCCTACATCTCTTCAGTTTTGTTACAGCCTCTCACAAGGCTGTATAATCCTCCCATGCTTTCAGGAAAGGAGGGAGAGAACCTGATATTGGGAGATCTAAGGCAACTTCTTGGGGAACCAGACAGCTTCCCATGTGCTCTTGCCCCTCCTGTGCCCCAGGAGTGTTTTCTCTTTGCAGCCCTGTCTTCTCATGCAAAGCCTTTTCATCGTGTTGAGTCTACAAAGCCTGAAACAGGCTGATCCTTGTTTTTTAGTTTTTGGTTTCTGGGTTTTGTTGTTTTAATTTTAATATTCCAGTAAAACAAATGACTGTTTTCTCTTAGGTTTCGTATCACCAACAAATAATAGAACTTTATTTCAGAAACCAAAAGTATGGTTTTTATCTTCTAGAATATTTTTTCAAGAAATGCTCTAGTGTCCTTGTAGAAAGCTGACAGTCTATTCCAAAGTCTTTGCCAGAAATATTGGGTTGTGCCCCCCTCCCCTCCGTGGAAATCAGCAAAGCAAAAATCAGTGTTATCAGGAACTGGTCTGGCAGCCACACATTTTGTTGTGTGTTTTATTAATTAAATCGGGTATTAGCTCCTCCTGGTCCCTAGTTCTTCAATCTGAAATAGGCAGATGCCCGAGTATGAAGAAAACTCAGAATAGTATTGAGAAAATGTAGACAGTGTGGAGCCTTGTGGAATCCACTCACATCTGTTTTCTGGTTAAAAGATGCTCAGTAGAAAACATGGTGCTTGGAAGTTAAGTGAATGAAGAGATGGTATTTAAGAGGTTGGTGTCTCCAACATAGCAATCATCAAAGATGAGGAGTGATAGGTGCACCACAGTGGATCAAATGAATGGTGCATTGATAGCTATAGCTAAAAGAAGTTTACCAGAGAGAAGAAACTTAGAGAGCAAAACCATTGCAAAGCTTAATAAGGGTGAGAATATGGGAACCTCTTCGTAGGACAGACCCAAACCAAAGAAGCTAGCAGAGTTTTGAAACAGCAAGGAAAATAGAAATGTAGACCACATGACTAACAACCACAGGAAATGCTAGATTATACCTGGGAAAAACAACCATGCGCTGTGAATCTAAGGAGAAGAAAAAGCGTAACCCAGAACTCCCCCAACGTGGTGCTAACATTGCTGTTGACTGAATGCTCTAAAACATTTGGCAGTACCTTCCCACTAGTGAAACCAATGAACAATGGATTACATTTGTCTGTATTTTCTATGATAACCCCAATATTTTATAACCAAGGGGGAAATGTAAAAAGAGAAACTATTACCAGCAAAGAAATGAAAGCATAGATTGAAATCTATAAAGTGTAAGCACACAGAGACATGGGTAAGGTGTGAGCAGATAGGTATAGTAAGGAGCATTTGTAGAAACCCTCCCAGATGAATTATTAGAAAGTAAAATAATATGAAGATATGTTTTACTATATTGAGAGAGCCAGATGTAAAGATTTAACTGATCTTTATTTGAAATGGTTATGGTGACTAATCTGAGTATGTTCTGGGCATTGTCCATATGTGGACAAATAGCTAGCAGAACTTACAGAAAGGCCTAAAGGCAAGGATTGAAATGGGAAAGAAAACAAGAAATTAAACAGTGGCAACTAATTCCTTCCACCATATTTAAAGAAATGATCATAAAGGAGTGGATGCTGTGTATGGATGTTGGCATCATGCTGCACTATTTCCCCTTTGCAAAAGCTGAGACAGGTGAGTGATTCTCAGGATCCTGAGTTTTAGACCTGTCTGTAGTTATCTCCAAGATGATGTCTAAAACAGGCCAAGAGCGTGGACTTCAAATATGTAATTGATAGATTAACCATCCTAGGCATCAAGTTATATGTATAAAATGAGGACTTAGTGACAGATATTATGGTTCTTGCTTCCTATTAGACCTTTAATGGTTTAAAGATAGACAGGATATACTTGAATGAGCTGACATGAGTCAGGCCAGCCCTTTTTAAATACCTGTATGGGGAGTGAACAGAGGCACATAAAGTCTCCAAGGGTCAGCTGAGTGAAGAATATTCATGCCCAGTCAAATGTGGACAGAATCCAGATTCCAAGCCTTTGTTCTGGTTGGAAATATGAGCTAAACTAGGATTAAATTTAATAGGGTTAAGGATTAAGTCCTACTTGTATAAGATAACTAATTAAGTTGCTGTAGACATGGGTCAGTAGTAGTTTCTATGAAAAAGGCTAAGGGTTTTATAACCCCAAATCTCACTTTGAGTCAAAAGTGAAATATATTTGTTAGAAAAATTCAGTTCCCGTGACAGATGTATGGTGTAAGGGAACTTTGACCAAGTAGAACCAACATCAGGCAGAAACCCCCAGTACTGCCTGACTAGACCTAGTGAATGTCACTGGACATGACTAGCCCTGTTGAATCTGGTTGAATTTGTTATTTTCTTTCGGGAATCTCTCTATTTGGTGGAAATCTCTAGTATTAGAAATCTGTGAAAGAAATGGTATTAAATCATTAAGTGTTGAAAGTGGTGATTGCCTTCCCATTCAGCCTGCCTGAAACAGAAGTATATGTATTGTGGTTTTTACTACAACGTATTGTATTTCTGGGTATCGTCAATTCTTGGGACTTCTGCATGGTGTGTTTTTTTTTGTTTGTTTTTTTGTTTTGTTTTGTTTTGGGTTTTTTTTTTTGGCACCAGAAATTATTTGATGAAAACTTTGCTCCTGAAGCTAATTGTTCTATGAAGAGCTCTTAAATGTGTCAGAATTATGGTAAATATTTTAAGGTAGGCATTTATCAATGTTTTTATAACCCTAGATGATGGATAAAAATCCAAGAACCCCCCAAAAAGATATGTATTTTTTAATATTTTATTTACTTTTATTTCATGTGTATGAGTATTATGCCTGCATGTAGATAAGTGTACCCATGTCGTGCAATGCCCACGGAGGACAGAAGAGGCTGTCAGATGCCCAGGAACTGGAGTTATGGACAGTTCTTAGCTGCCACATGGGTGCTAGGATATGTATTTTTATGTATGTGTACTTTTTTTCTGGGAAAAACTCCAACATTTTTATCCAATTCTCAAATAATAGAAAAATTGGACCCTTCTCTCTGCACCCACACAGCTTGTCTCTATCCTTGTGTGTAAATAAAGAGGCATCTTGATTGTTGCTTCCTGTTTTCTGTAGAGACCAGGCAACTTCCTTGAAATGGCAGTGACTTGATGAAAAGATGTCACATGCAGAATTCCAAAATCGTCTCAGTTGAAATCGTAACATTAGAATAAATAGAAACTCCTCCTTCCCACTTCTTTACACCCTACAACAAAACTAGTTTTATTTTTAAGAACAAGACTCGGGCTTGTTACTTGAAGAATTTGGGTTATAGTTTATGGTTCTCCTTTCAGCGTGTGAGTACAAATTTGGTCTTCTCCAGGAATATTTTGTTCTGAGGTGTGTTCCAAAGAAGCTTGATCTTCTCAATGGGATATGTGTTTCATGTGGTTTTTCTTCCCTTGCAACCTTACAGGGTGCCAAAGCATGCTTTCTGCGGGACATTCCTTTCTCGGCCATCTACTTCCCATGCTATGCCCATGTGAAGGCTTCCTTTGCAAGTGAAGATGGGCAGATCAGCCCCGGAAGCCTGCTCTTGGCTGGTGCCATAGCTGGTAAGTCTTAAACATGCTGCTCTGTTATTTTCCCACCATTCATCTCCAAATCTTCCACTGTCCCCCATCTCCACCCCATGTTACAATTTTCTGCTGACATTTTTTGACAGAGACTGTATGAGTTGCTTTGATTAGCTTCTGGGGGGATAAAAGGAGGTAAGAAATTAATCTTTTTTTTTTTTTCTGGCAGATTCAATTATTAGGAAGACTTAATTTGTTAGATTTAGAAAGAGTTCACTAAATATTGGTTGTTTTTTTAATGGTCTTCTTGGATTCCAATTCAAGTTCCATCTTGTTTCCTAGTTTCACTTAGCATAAGAATAAAAATGGTTCAGCCCAAACTTTGTAAAATTTTAAATGCTATGCCCTAACGGTATCTAAACAAATTATTATTACACTTAAGCTTTTCCAGAACTTAAGCAATCATTATGATTTAGATAAGAGAAAAATTATAGAACCAGAGCTGACCCAGGCTGGCTGGAGACTTGCTTCCTCACACTAGTGGTTGAGGTTAAAGGAATAGCTTTGTGTTAAGTGAGTCTAGAAATTACTGTCTTCTGTTTTCAGTGCTGTCCTACACTGATTAGGAAAAATAAATAGAAAAATAGATACTGATTATCAGCACAGCAGGATCAACTCCTGGCTTTTGTGAACCTCCTTGACCTGAGACCCTAAAGGCTGAATCTGATTTGATTAGCTCTCCAGGTGCTAACAACATGTAATGAGTTAACAAACCCTAGGGCAGTCCTGGGCTGCCTGGCTCAGTTTGGATAGACTTGTGCTGTTCTCATCACACAGGGATGCCAGAGCTGTTCCCAGAAACAGTATGGGAAATGAACCCCATCTTTAAGTTTCTACTCCATGCCTCCCCTTTCCTGTCAGAACCTGGAGGCAGGAAGTCATGACGCTCCCCTTTAATCTTAATCTCTTTTTCCAAAGGTATTGATGCTGGTCCCTGAGGCAGGGTTGTTTTGTCCTAAATGATTCAGGACTCCAGTTGTTTGATATAGGACCTACATCAAGGAAGCGAGACTGTGGAATACAGAATTCCTATTTTTATTTCCAACTTAAGCCATTCATCCACTGTGTCTCGATATAAATATATTTAACTTCTCTGTGGAAAACAGTTTTCTTTTGAGGAACTAGTTTCAGGTCTGGGTAGGAGTATGCTAGGTAACCTGTGCTACCAGAACTGTTGAAATTACTGATGGGTTTTATTTTTCTCTTTTAAAATTTATTTTTTTCCATTTTTTTATGACAATGAAAGCAGTACTGCTTATTGTAAAATAGTTAGAAAGTAAATAAAATAGTGTCCATCATTCTACTACTCGATGAGAGTTGCTATTTAACTTTTCTTTTTAAAAAATATTAGAGCAACTGGAGAGATGGTTCAGCAGTTAAGAGCACTGGCTGCTCTTAGAGAGGACCCAGGTTCAGTTCCCAGCCCCCACATGGTGGCTAACAACTCTGTAACTCCAGTTCCATGGGATCTGATGCCCCCTTCTGACCTACACAGCACTGCACAGTGGGGGTGCACCTACCTACGTACATGCAGGCAATATACTCAGATGCATAAAGTAAAAATAATTAATAAAATAAAATATTATTAGTTTTTTATTTGTGTATGTGTGTGCATGTGTATGCACATGCCAGATCATGCATGTGGAGGTCAGAGGACAGCTTCTTGGAACTGACTTACTTCTCCCACTATGGAAGTCTCAGGGATCAAACTCAAGTTGTAAGGTTTGGTGGCAAGATCCTTTATACTTTGAGCCATCCTACCAGCCCTATTTAACATTTTTGCTTTTCTCCATTTAAATGGTTTTTGACAGACTTTCACTCACACTCCCTGGGCTCTGTGCTTCATCTCTTCAGGACTGTTGGTTGTAGGAAGTTGGCGTGTCCTGTGGGATCAGGCTCCCTGGGTCAGGTTCATTTCCCCACTTCAAACTTTGTGATCTACAGAAGCCATTTAGTCCCTCTTGGCCCACTTCTAAACTGGGGATGAGAGGAGTTTTAGCATCACAAGAGTAGTGTGAGTATCCATTGGACTAATGGCAAAGCTTTAAAATCGTTGCCAGCATGTAAGTATTCAGAAATGCTCAAAGGCAGTGGTTTTGTTCTGTATAATTTAGCTGTCTAAACATGGTTTTTATTTGAATATTCACTAATTTCTTACACATAGATACTTAAAACTTTCCAAATTACCAAAACTTTCAAATAAGTAATTTTATAAAAACAAGGCAAGCCTGGTGTGGTGGTACACACCTTTAATCCCAGCACCCAGGGGGGCAGAGGCAGTCAGATATCTGTGCATTCAAGGCCAGCCTGGTCTACATAGTGAGACAAAAAAAAAAGGCTTATCTTTAGGCTTATAAGACTTTCCCCCTGTTTTGGATCAGTCTTTTTGGAGAAATATAGATTCTCTGAAGTGAGTTTGTTGGTTAAACAATCTAATGTGTATATGTTTCTTAAGTATGATTAGATTTATGTAATTTATGATAGATGTAGACTACAAGCTTAGCAAAGACAGATTTTTATTTGACTTATTCATGGATATATTTCTGAATCTGGAACATAGGCTGGCACACAGTAAACATTCAATAAATATTTACTGAATAAACGAAAAAAAATCATGATTTTTTTAAGGTGTGATCACATTAGTCTTAAAAGTTTGAAGGTGTGGGGCTGTAGAGATGGCTCGGCAGTTAAGAACTCTGGCTGCTCTTGCAGAGGACCTGGGTTCAGTTCCCAGCCCCCACATGGCAGCCAACAACTATCCATCCGTAATTCTGGTTCCAGGGGATCCAACACCCTCTTCTCATCTCCACAGGTATTGCATGACATGAGTTCATTTATATACATGCGGGCACATGTATGTACACATAAATAATAATTTTTTTTTAAGTTTGAAGGTGTACTGATAGTTTAGCCCCTTAGCTGTCCTGTGTCTGTGCAGTCGTATGGGCTGCATACCATGTTATCCCAAAGCTTGTCGGCTTAAGTGCTGTTTTTGATGTAGGTCAGGGGCAATTTTGGGGGTGCCTCTGGCTCAAGGTCTGTTGTGTAATTGTAGTGGAGGTGGGAACCAGGGCTTTAGCAGGCTTCTTTGAGTTGGGGACCTGCTTTCACAGTGGTACATGGCTATTGGCAGAAAACTTCAGCTTCATGACCCATAGGTCGGCTTGAATATCCTTCCAACATGACCCCTGGCTTCCCTAGCAGGATCTGAGAGTCATGATCTTGAATGACCTAGTCCTGATACATAGAAGCCAAGTGTAAATGCCAAGCAGCAGAGGCTTCAAGGGCCATGTGGGGAGCCAGCCGCCATACTACCCACAGCCGTCCACTTCCTGCACAGGATTTCCTTCCATCCTCCTTTCTTAATCTTCCACTTCCCAGGAAATGATAAGTTGTCTTATTGGCTTTATTCTCAAAGAGTGGATCAGTTGCAAACCTGATGCCTTATTATTATTCATTATTATTATTCATCAGACCTATTACAACTATGTGAAGAGGATTAACCAACTGTCTTCATTCTGGTATTAAAAAGCCAATGACCAGTACCGTAAACTACTTTTTTTCCAGTAAAATTAGAAATAAGCCAAGAATGGCTCATCCTTGTTATTCATCCTTGTTTCCAGTCTGTGTGGTAAAATAAGAAGAGGAAGAGGAAGAGGAAAGAGGAAGAAGAATGAAAAAGGAAGAAGAACCAAAGCTTCCATTATTTGCAGATATTGTTTACCCAAAAATCTAAGCTAGACTGTCTTTAAAATGTGTTTGAATTAGTAAGAACAGTTAGCAAAGTACTTGATTGTAAAATAATGAATATCTCTGTGGTTAGAAGCAGCCAGCGCTGTGGAGAAAGCATGGCAATGAGCACTGAGTCAGGAACTTAGAATAGGACAAGAAGCTTCTTCAGAAGTTGCCCAGTGGGCTGGTGAGATAGCTCAGCACGTAAGGGTGCCTGCCACCATGCTTGACAACCTGAGTTCAGTCCCAAGGACCTACATGGCAAAGGGACAGAACTGATTCCATGGGTTGCCCTCTGTCCTCCATGTGGCACATGCATGTCCACAAACACATGTATACACACACACACGCACACACACACACACACACACACGCTAAATAAATACTTTTTAAAAAAATTTACAAGTTACTCAGTGTCACCCAATTGAGGAGCCTAGGGAACACAAAAGTTCCCAGGCCCATGTTGCCTTTGTGGGTATCAGTAAGAGCAAAGATATTTCTAGAAGAAACAAGAAGAGAGTAAGAGTTCCAGGAGGGCCGACTGGGGCAGAAACAGTTTTTGTTATCTTTAAGGAAAAATCTTACCCCTAAATGTAAAAATCCTATGTAGATGGAACTGCAGACAACTATAATGAATAGTTGTTGGCCACTAACTTACTGATTATGTAAAACAAGTGTCTCATGACTGTTGACATGTGCGATGGATCTCATACAAAGCATATGTGTGTGTGTGTGTGTGTGTGTATATATATATATATATAGTGTGTGTGTGTGTGCACACGCGCATGCGTGCGTGCATATGTTGTTGAACAGCCCTGTTTCAAAGAAGGTAGATCTATAACTGAATAAACATGGTTATGACCATGTTCTCCATTTTGGTAGCAAGTTCGCTTATATGCTAAGAACTATTTCACTTTCTAAACAAAAACTAGTTTAGTCTTGAAGTTAGTGTTTTGTAGGAATCACCAGCTTCTAAATAAAGGTGGTGGGTTGGTACTTTACTCCCTGAGAATACAGTTGAAGATTTTTGGATCAGACTGAAGAGATGGCTCACTGGTTAAGGGTGCTCACTGCTCTTGTAGAGGACCTGGGTTCAGTTCCCAGCACCTATATCAGACAGCTCAAAACCACCTGGAACTCCCATTCCAGGCATCTGCTGCCTCTCCTGGGCTCTCTGGGCTCCTGCATGCACATGGTGCATATAAATTCAGGTTCTCACACACATACATAATTTAAAAATAAATAAG